GTCTCGGCGTTAGTGTTTAGTTGTGTCATTACCCTACCGAACGACCGACCGAAACCTACGTGGCGTCGTGTACGTCCCTACCTACGTCTCTCTCTAAAAATAACGACTCTCTCTCTCTCTCTCTCTCTCTCTATAAAAAAAAAAAATGGAGTGAAGGGCTCGAGTTGCCGAGGACTCGAGGGACAGCGGTTCTCTTTAACTAACAAAATAAAGGGTGCTGGCATCAGCATCACGAAATTGACTCTTACTTATAACGAAGGATCAAAGGTACGGTTCAGCAAATTGAGTTTATTTTGAGTGGATATCTGAGGGAAATCCCACTGCATGAATCTATATAAACAGATTCCAACTTTGTTCTTTATAGGGTCATAAATCAATGGCGACTACGCACGCTCGGGCACTCTGCAGATCGAGGGCGGCATCAGCCTTCAGGACGGGCTGGGCCTGCCTGATGGTCGGAACGATTATCCGATTCGCCGAGTGCCATCACAAGGATTTCTTGGCTTTCCCGGCGTTTGCCTACGTGACTGCGGTCATGGTCGCCGGCGAGGCTTCTTTAGGAGAAGCCCTACAGGGGGCTGCAGCCGCGGTCTGCGGGACCCTGCAGGGCGTCGGCCCGGCAATGGCATGCCTGTGGGCTGTCGGGCCGGGGAAATTGACAGTGTGGACATCGACACTGGCAGTGGCCCTCAGTGCCTTTGTTGTTGCGTTGCCTAACACCACACATATTATCGCTAAGAGAGTGGCCTTCGCACAGATGGTCATTGTCTATGTTGTGGCCTTGATACAGGGGGAGAGTATGGGGGCTATTAAGTACCCTTTGCACGTGGGGATCAGCACGTGTGTTGGGGCCGCGGCTTCTGTGCTTGCATTGCTGTTGCCCGTTCCCAAGTTGGCCTATGTTGAGGTAAAATAATAATCTTTTTTTTTTTTTTTTCTTTCCCTGTAATCGCCTCCTTGTCCGGCATTGTTATCCCCAGACATAGGAGTTACCTTCTTTCTGCACATGTCTGGTGTAAGTATTACTGGATTAGTACCTTGTCTAACATTCTCGTTGCCATAAAGCATCTTCAAAAATTAAAGTTCAATAACATGGTATTTTCATTGCAGGACATAATGTCTCTCTTTTTCACATATGTATCACCCCCAACATCTCTCTCAAAAATAGATTTCAGGGAATCAAATAGATTTGTAGGTGTTTTAAAAGGGTTTTGGAAATCGAATCCATTAGAAATTACAGGGAAGGTATGAAGCGATGGCATTGACCTACACTGAAAATATGTTTAAAAGGAAATTTATCATTTTATCTATGAGAGATGAACTTTTTATCAGTTTACTCATCTCTCTTGATTTAATACCAAAACAACCATAAAAAAAATATACATGAACTTGGGTTAGAATAGTTGCAAATGTGTAGAATATCAAATAGTTCATCTGTCATGAGCAATGGATTAACAAGCGGATCAGTGATCTGGATCGGTTATCTCAAAAACCGATCTAGATCGGGAATCGGCTGAATCGTTCTGATTAAAGCTTCAAAAAATCCAAAAAA